ATAGGCTAGAAAGGAGCTCAGTGCTGGAGAGTTGGCTTGTTTCAAAACATTAATGTACTTTGGAAAAGCAAAAGAATTTCTCTTCCTTCATTCACAAGACCAGAAAAGTGGTATTTCTGGCATGGGCTAGAGGCAGAGCACTCTATAAATAAAAACCATTAGATCCCATGCAGCAGGAACCTGATCAGGGCCTCCTTTTAATTTCCTGACGTGAGCTGGCCACTAACCCAATTACCCAGAATCCCTAGAGAAGCTTTCTGCTTTCCCAACATGCACGAAGAGAGTGAAAGCATATTGCATGGCCATCAGCCCAGGTCTCGCTGAAATCAAGTATCTTTCAGAAAACACTTGGGAAGAGGCAGGCAGGGCTGAGGAGGGAGGGGACGGCAGGAGTGGCTGGAGGGAGGGTGAGTGAGGGGAGGAGAAGGTGGGGTGGGTAGGGTCAAGCTGGCTAGGTGAAGTATTCAGGTCCCAGAGCTGAACTGGAGACTGGGGGCACTATATAGATGCAGCAAGTGGATTTTCTGGTCTGGAGACTGAATCAGTCCACACCTGAGATGCCAGGGACCATCTCATTCCATTTCCAATTCCAGAACTCAGAGAGGATCAGCCTAGGGTAATGCCACCTCCTTGGAGTCCCACCAACAAATCCAGGAAGGAGATCAATGGGTCCTGGCTGCCTCACTCGACTCAGCGGGCAGCTGTAGAAAAGACGTGTGAACCTGAGTGAGTCTAACACCAGCTGAATGTTGCCATTGGGCTGCTGACACACTAAGGCAATGTCCCAGCTGTCCCAATGGGTCCTCACCTTGACCTGGTGATGAACAGCAGGCCTTGAAGGAGGTAAAGGAAGGAGGTCCTGGGAGCACTAAGTATGAGAACCACAAAGAGAATGCCAGTCGCCAGCTGTGAACCCACATCAGATTTTGCACACAGAAAAAAGGACGACTTTCCCTAAAAATGTGAGTTGTCATACAATGCATCTGCATAAAGACGCGGGGACGCTGCCTTCAGCCACTGACCGCTCCTCCCGTCACCCCAGGATAGACAGGACAAAGCCGAAGGGAGCCATGTGGAAAACAGGATCAGTCTCCAACCACTTGAGGCACCTGACATGCTTTGATCGTGAGTCGGAGGACACCACACATCTGACTTCATCCCTAGTCACGGCCGGAGCCCCTAAATCATGGACCATTTTACTAAGACACAGTTATTGGAGACATCTTGAGCTGCTAGGTAGATGAGGTTCTGACACGGAGATGGTCGGGAGGAAAAGTGTTCACACCCCCTGCTTCCCTGTCAGACTCAGGAACCCCTGTCAGTGCCCAGAGACTGTGAGACCCTAACACAGGAAGCAGCACCAGGAAGTATGAGGTTTGTTTCCAGAATCAAGTCAGAGACTGAGGAAGATGTGGGGTGGGGGAGGGGGGGAGACAGCCATGGGGGGGGGCAGGGGGATGGGCGGGGCTTGCCCTGGGGACCAGACCTTGAACACACAGCAAGGGACACCCAAACAAAAGCAGGAGCCGGGACAGCCGCCAAGAGCTCTGCCTGGCAGAGACCCAGACGCCTGCAGGCAGCCTGCTCCTCCCAGGAGGCTGGTCCCCATGGAGCTTCGGATGCCAGGTACCACAGAGCCCTGTGGGGATGCACACTGAGCCAGGAGCTCAGCTTCACCCACGCTCACACGCGGGAGGTTTCCTGTCCATTTTTCCCTTTCAGATACAGGCTCGCCAGCACGGGAGGTAAGGTGGTGCGGGCCCTGATGACTTTTCTTTCCTCCTTCAGGCAAAGCTCCCTAACGGCTGCATCAGGATCAGTACACCACCATCAGCCCAGGGGACACCTGGCTGACATGGGGGGAGCCAGTCCTGGAGGTGAGGCAACTCTGGGGATCACCGAGCAAAGGATACTTGGATGGTGTGTATCCTTTGCTGCACCCTACTCCTGGCACTGGAGACGCCCATCATCACTGGCTTCTCTTCCAGGAACCAGTCTAGGCATGTCCCACCACTGCCCTTCAGTGTGCTCAGTCACGCCTCTCCTGTCATGGGTGAGACCCCTTCTGGGGACCACTGGAAAGTGCCCTCCTCTTTCCCAGCGCTAGATAACCCTGAAAGAGAATCCTGCGCATTGCCGCACTGTGACCGTCTGGGGATGGAGTGGTAAGCCCCCATCCCTTGCCTTGTCATGTGGAGTGTGTGGGGGAGAGCATGCGACAGGAAGATCCAGATCCGGGCCCTGAACCTGTCAAGCTAACGGGTGGCTGAAGGTGGGGCAGACACCTCACTCCAGCCCCTGCAGGCCCCTTTTATCACCGGAAAGGGGTTGCCTTTCCCTGATTCCCCGAGTTTTCGAGAAAGCAGGCAGAGAGACACACTGCAGCCAGGGAGTCTCTGCACAGTGGGTTCCAGCCCGTCCTGGTGTCTCCCTCAGCTTCCAGAACAAGGCGGCAGCAGTTCCATTTCTGGGGCCAGGGAGGAAGGAGTCTCCTCAAAGCCTAGACACCCTCAGGTGCCTAGCACTGAGGACACTAAGGAGTCCAAGCCAGCATACCTCTGTGGGCCTCCTCATCCGAGACCACCAGGAAGCTCGGCATCAGAGAGAGCCTGGTGTGGGAGGCAGGGGACCCTAGTCCAATCCCTATCTTGGTCACGCCTACACACAACCGAGACCAAAACCGGGCAGCAGAATGAAACACGGTTTTACAGACAGCAGGCCCAACACAGCCCATTTCAAACTAAAGAGAGGCTGCTTCCTCCACAGAGCCCCTGAACAGCAGCTGGCACATCCCCAAAGGGTGAAGAAACGACACATGAGGGCTGGAGAGGTGGCTCAGAGGTTAAGAGCACCGACTGCTCTTCCAGAGGTCCTGAGTTCAATTCCCAGCACCCACATGGTGGCTCACAGCCATCTGTAATGAGATCTGGCGCCCTCTCCTGTATACATATAAATAAATAAATCTTTTTAAAAAAACTGGAAAAAAAAAAAAAGAAACAACACAGGAAAAAGGGATTTGGGCTGGACAGCTTAATGTCAACTGGATACAAGTTAAAAGTGATCTTGTAAGGGTCCAAGGAAACGCTGAAGGAGACCCCAGGCCCCAATAGTATGTAAGAGCAAAGAGCATTTATTAACATTCCAGCATGCAGGGGTCAACACCTGTACAAAGTGGTTGTGACCCCAAGAGGAGCGTGCGGGCTCCTTTTAAGCGCAGCCAAGGCGAGTTTTTAGGGACAGTTAAGTCATCTCACACATAATTGGTTACACAAGCAGCGGTTACTCTAGTATACTTTGAATTGGCTGAGGTGGAGTCTTATCATTTTTGGGCATCCCTGCACAAGCTTGTGACTCGGAAAGGGGGCTGCAGGGTTTGTCCTTGAGACACTGTGAGGCTGACCGACTTAGACCTTGTGTTTGTCCACTCCCTCATCCCCGAATGTAGAGGCAGTGGGGATCAACAGCCCTCTGTGGGGAGAGACGCCTGTTTTGCCCTTCTCAGAGAACTGAAACCTAGACTCAGTTGTGAGAGTGGGAGAGTTGAACCCCTTCAATCTGAGAGGAGGGAACCTCAATTAAGAAAGTGCCTCCATAAAATCGGGCTATAGGCAAGCCTGTAGGGCATTTTCTTAATTAGCGATGGGTGGGGGAGGGCTCAGACCCTTGTAGGTGGTGCCGCCCTCGGGCTGGTGGTCCTAGGTTCTGTAATGAGGCAGGCTGAGCAAGCCATAGAGAGCAAGTCAGTCAGCAGCACCCCTCCGTGGCCTCAGCTCAGCTCCTGCTTCCAGGTTCCTGCCCTGTCTGAGTTCCTGTCCTGACTTCCCTCAGTGATGAACAGTGATGTAAAAGTCTAAGCCAAATAAACCCTTTCCTCCCCACATTGCTTTTGGGCCTGGTGTTTCATCAAGGCAACAGACCTGAAACCAAGACAGGACACCTTACAGCCCAGGGCACTGCAGACCCACGAGGCAGCTGGAGGCGGCCCTGATTGCGGCTTCACGGGTGCAGGTGCTAACTAAGCCCAGGTGAGGAGAGGAACCACCCAGAATGTTCCCTAGCTCCATCCAAGCTCTCTCACAGGCAAACAGCTCCGAGGAGGACACTTCCCTAGCGGGCACAGGGGAGGGAGGAGGGGGGAAGCTCCGGGCCTGCCAAAGGCTGAGCTAGGTTTGGGAGACCAGCCACCCCACCTTGCCCTTCCCAGGGAAGATGGCACCCCAAGCAGTCTTTGTCCTCTCTTTAGCTTGTCCTGCTCCTCATCCCCATAAACTTCCTGTTTCCTTCCACATCATCGGGAAGGATTAAGGCGCAGAAAGAAGCCGGTCTATAAGAATTCGCACTGGCTCTCTGAGGGAGTCGCAGGTGCACAGACAGTGGTGTGTGTACGTGCAACTATAACACTCTCACACACACACACACACACACACACACACACACACACACACACACCTGCACAAGCACACCCCATTCCCAAAATGCACCAAATGACTCTAGAGGAAAAAGCAACAGGGGGAAGAGCCAGAAGCCAAGACGGAAGAGAAACTGGGGGGGTGGGGGGGGAGAGACGATGATGACACACTTATCAGGCAAGAGACGTGTCCTGAACCCCATCAGAAGCAAGGGCCACTCCACACCAGCCAGGAGTGTGCCATTACCCACCCCCAAACCCGAGGGAGCACCAAGAGTTCTAAGTCCACCTGCCAGGATGGGGGAGGGGGAAGTCCTAGCCCAAATGAGGACTTCCCTGGGTGACAAGCTACCAGCTGAGGCTCCGAATAGGACCCTTGGGACCTCCCGACTTCTACCTTACCAGCCCACATCTTTCCAAGAAGAGAATCCCAGCAGGCTACGGCATGGCAGCCATGATATAAGACAGCACACACACACACTGCCCTCGGGGAGGCCCTGGGCCTGTAGGTATCCTCACACAGACCTAACACGCCCCACCAAGACAAACCGAGCAGAGCCCTGGCCCTGGCAGCTGGCTGGGGGCCTCTTACCTTCCTTCAGCATCCCCACTTTGAGGCATTTCATGAAGCGGCAGGCCTGACAGGACTTCCGTCTCCGTTTGGTGATCTCACACTCGTTGGTGGCCGGACAGCTGTATTCGATGTTGCCTGTAACACAGAGAGGGTTGCCAGGTGCCTGCTGTCTGTCCATCCCGGACCCCAACCCCTTAGGCTGACTGGGGATTAGCTGGCCAGAGCTGACGTGCCCCACCCAGGGTTGCAAACGGAAGTACTGCTGGAAGCAGGGACTCTAAGTGGCCCTCCGGGGTGCGTCCAATTCTCTCCCATGCCCGTTCCAGCTTGGGAGCTGGGTGGCCCGAGCAGCCACCTGGGGAGGAAGAGATCGTTCTCCTAAAGAATGGTTTTCTAACAACCACCGGATGGGGGATGACAGGGCGACATCAAAATATGCTGAGCTGGACATCAGCACAGACCACCCCAGCTCTTCTAGCCGCCAACCTGCACCTGTTGCTAGGAAAAGCCCAGGGAAAACCGTGGCAGGGCGTGGACTCTGCCTCCCACTGGGGGCCGGGCCACCTAGCTCCCGACTTTGAGGAAATCTTTTTCCCATCACCTAGCCTTAGTTCTCTCAACTGCAAAACAGTTTGTTAGTTCCTCAGGAAAGGGTTGAACAAGACCTTACGTGGAAAGTCACTTTAAAAAAACTGTAGCCTAGGCTGGGTGAGGTGGTGCATGCTTTTAATCCCTACGGAGGCAAGCAGATCCCTGTGCGTTTGAGACCTGCCTGTTGTACATTGTGAGTTCCAGGACAGCCAGGGCTTCACAGAGAGACAGACCTTGCCTCAAGACAGACAGAAAGATAGACAGACAGACAGACAGAAATTAAAACAAACAAAAAAGGACCAGTTGTAGCCCAGGTTAGGCATCACAGTGCGCATTCCTATCACTTTATTTTTATTATGACTACAATTGTCTTCTCATTTATTTGTGTGTGCATGCATGTATATTAGGGGGGTGAGGGAAGTATGAGTGCCAGTGTGTGGAGGTCATAGACAACTTCCCAGGTGGGTGTCAGTTTTCTCCATCCACCATGAGGTTCATGGGATTGAACGTAGGTCATCAGGCTTGCCAGAAAACTGCCTGTAATCTTAGCACCTGGGAGTTGAGCTAGAGGCAGGAAGATCAGGGGATTAATGTGGTGATATTGTGTTCCCCAAAATATTGTGCACCCTAATAAACTTATCTGGGGTCAGAGAACAGAACAGCCACTAGACAGACACAGAGGCCAGAAAATGGTGGTACTCACACCTTTAATCCTATCACTTGGGAGGCAGAGATCCACCTGAATCTCTGTGGTTTCAAAGCCACACTGGAAACAGCCAGGTATGGTGACCCACACCTTTAATCCCAGGAAGTGATGGCAGGAAAGCAGAAAGGTATATACAGCATGAGGACCAGAAACTAGGAGTTTTTGGCTGGTTAAACTTTTAGGCTTTGGAGCAGCACAGTTCAGCTGAGATTCATTCTGGATGAGGACTGAGAGGCTTCCAGTCTGAGGAAACAGGATCAGCTGAGGAACTGGCAAGGTGAGGTGGCTGTGGCTTGTTCTGCTTCTCTGATCTTCCAGCATTCACCCCAATACCTGGCTCCGGGTTTATTCTCATTTAATAAGACCGTTACATCTACAGGTTAAGGTCAGTCTTGGCCACAAACGCAGTTCAAGGCCAGCCTGGACTACACATCTTAGAAACAAAATTAGGCTGGGGTGTAGCTCAGGTGATATAGTGCTTGCTCGGTGTGCATGAAGTCCTGGGTGCTACACACAACAGCCCCATAACGCCGGCCTGGTGGTACACACCTGGGATCCTAACACCTGGAGGTGGAGGCAGGGGGATTAGAAGTCCAAGGGCATCTTTAGCTACAGAACAGTAATCTGAGGGCAGCCTGGGCCACAGGAACACAAAAGCAGTGAATGAAAATAAAGAACTATCGCTTAAGTATGGCAACCCACTCAGTCAGTCCCAGCACTGGAAATGCTGAAGCAAGATGCTCAATGGTTTAAGGGCAATGTGGACTACGTGGCCAGACTGTCTCTAACGATTGAGACAGAACAGCAAACCACTTCAGCACACGAGGGGCTTATTTTACAAAGCCATCGTCATTGTGAAAACAGGGACAGTGACCACCCAGAGTCCCCTGTCTTCTCAACACCTGTTTAACAAATATGGACTCTGTGCCTACAAGCCTGGTACTAGGGAAAAAAAAAAAAAACACCAACAGAAGGCACCAGGTCCTCATCTCACTCACAGTAATAATAGCTAGGGTTTATTGTAAACCTACTATGTGCTGCCTCTGGGTCAGCTCTCGTGACCTTTACCGTAACTCTGAGCTGGCCTATCAGTGCCCAACTCAGAGACCAAGACACGGAGAAGCCCAAAGGAGCCACCTCAGGCCCAGAGCCCCCTATGCGCTCCCCTGTACCTCACACGGAGCTTGAAGAAATCAGAAAGCGCCTCACTCACAAAGGCAAGCTTCTGTTACTAACCCAGGAGGGGAGGTAAGTGTCCCAAGGGCACCCATGCCACAGCCTCCCAGGGTGGGACATGGAAACACTGTCAAGTCTCCTAGAGCAGCAGAGCATGAACTGTGAGCCATGATAAAGAGCTCTGAAGCAGTGTCACTGCTGGGTCCGAGTTACCACACTGCCACAGTCCCCAAGGCTCAGACCAAGGGACCTCGGAGACCCTTGTGACCTCTCATTACACCTAATCAATGGTATTCCTTCTTTTCTTTGTGCATTTGCATTGCATTTATGTATGTATGTATGTATGTATGTATGCATGCATGTATGTATGCATGTATGTATGCACTGTGCATGTGTGGGTCCCAAGTGCCCACAGTGTATGTTCAGAGACCAGAGGACATCTCACTCTGTAGCCCAGGCTGGCCCCAAACTCAGGGATGCTCCTACCTTGGCCTCCTCAGTCTTGGATTACAGATGTTGTCCACTACACCTGGCTAAACATGGCAACATCAAAGATAAACAAGAGAGGAGCATACAGGCTTAGGAGTGCATCTGTGTCCTGTGTGCGTTTTCTTAGAGGCTCTGTAACCTGTAACCTATCATCTTCACACCATCTACAGCCTGAGCCCCTCCAACTGCCCAGTTCCCGGAACTGGCCAACACAGGCAAGTCCACCAAGTGCCCTCTGGCCCAGGCCTGCAGCCCACCAATCCAGATCCCACTGAGGAGGTGTTGCTTTTCTCTGCCAGCCACTCCAGGCTGCCCTACCATCCATGTCCTGTCTAGTTCCTCCATGCAGGCCAGTTCCTCTTGACAGTCCCAATACCTGACTACCTGACTCACACATAGTAGGTTCCCGAAGCACACTAACCACTAAATAACCAAGCACTCAGTGATGCAGCTGCATGCCTGCTCAACGTAGATGTCTTTAACTTAGCCAATCTCTCCCCATCTTACAGAGGAGAGCCAGGTAAAATGGTACATGCCTGTAATCCCAGCCACAAGGAGGGATTTAGGAAGATCAGAGACCAGAATGAGATGTGCTATACAGTGAGGGTCTGGTTTGTTTGTCTGTTTGTTTGTTTTAAAGTTTTTTCAAATGAGAAGGGATGGCACAACTCTGGCAGAAGCAGCCTGGGAACTGAACCCAGGTGGCCTCCTCACAGGAGTTGTACGGTGCAGACGGCTGTACTCTGCTCTCGGCTACCCTGCAACCCCACCCCTTGAGTGAGGGTGAGCCACAGGTTATTCCTCAGAATGGAGGTGGGGGGGGGTGTCACAGCATGGGTGGGTTTGGTCCTGCCGTCTTTCTAAGACAAGACGACAGGGCAAGAGTGCTTCCTGAGGCTAACAGTGAGTGTGGGACCGTGCTCCTGACCTTTCAGGGTGTGTGTGTGTGCACACACATACACACACACACACACACACACACACACACTCGCGAGCAAGCACCTGTGTGTATTTCTAATTTCACTTATTTATTTTGTTCCTTTCAATTTGTTTTATGGGCCTGGCGGCTGGCTGCCAGCAAAACCAGGCTGGTGGCCTGGCCTTGTAATTTCTGTAAGTGCCTCCTTGATAAAGTGATGAGATTAATTCATCATTGTTCCTGTGGTCTCAAGGGGAGTCCCGGAGATCTCAGCACAGGGAGCGGGCATCAGCGGTGTGCACACTCTCGATCGAGCAAGCGAGTGCGTGCTCCACCCCCCACCCCCCCAAAAAACATACCCCATCAACTCAGGTGTGACCAAGTTAGTGAACAGGGCATTAGACAACAGCTAGCCCAGACTCAGGTCTCAACCTGGACGTTCGTCCACTGTAGACACAGGCAGACTCCACTTCTGGCAAGTTGAGTCACCTAATTTCTCAGCCTCCGTTTGTTTCCTCATCTATAAAATGGGTGTGGTTTCCATCTCAAAGTTGGATGAGTTCCGCACACCAGGACTGAGTGGAGCATAGACCTTGGCATCCAAGGCAGGCAAGGCTGGCAAACTAAATCCTCCATCCAGGCAGGGGTATCTGTAGAGGATGCTAGCCTCCAGCCTGTCAGCGCCACACTGAAGGCTGTCCACCCAGGGACACTGGAGAGCACTGTCATTTGTGGATGGTGGGACCTCAGCTTCTGTTCCTGCCTGAGGGAGAGGAAGGCACATCCGGAGCTGAGCTGGAATTTGGTGTGACCCCGAGGCAAAGAGGTCGTCTCTTTGATCCTAGGCCACCCTGAGAAGGGAATCCCAGAGGAAACCCCACCAGCTGTGCCCGCAGCTGCAAGCTAGCCAGAAGCCCAAGCCAGGCTCAGGCACAGGCTGTTAGGCTAAAATAATTCCAGGGCTCCAGCTGACCTCAGAGGCGACCGTGAGCAGCTGTGGTGAAAGCCTGGGCTCTTGTTTATCTCAGCCCTGGAGGACAGAGACATTCCCTTCCACTCTGGGTGGTCCAGTGTCCTCAAGCCTCTACCCTTCCCTCCTCATCCACTGCCAGATGACCTCACTGATGCCTACATAACTCCATCACATAACTGGCAGTGCCCTAGACTGGGACAAATGGTCCATCCTGGGCCTGCTGCAGCTTCCACCTGGAGGGCCTTTAGACTGCTCAGCTCTCTCAAACTGAACCCATCCTC